ATATATTAAATAATTTTTATTATTGCAGCTTTATGGCGAGGATTCCAGTGATTATGATTCTGTGGCTGACGATTTGAGTCTCCTGCATTTGAATAGCGCGGGAGGCGCAGCCAATACCAATAATAATATAAGCCAGCAGCAACACTATCACCAGCAGCAACAGCAGCAGCTGCCACAGGCGCAGCAATATCATCCATACCAGCAGCAGCAACAACAGCAACAATTGCAACAATTACAGCAGCAACAGCAGCAGCAGCAGCAGCAACATCATCATAATGGTAACAATAACAATCATAATAATCAAATGCAAGCAAATAATAATAAAAGTCTACTACAGCACATGTTTTGCCTTCCATTGAACTAATTAAAATAACGAATTAGATATTGAACAGCAACACGAGCAACAGATAGCAGACAGCAACAACAGCTAGAAAGTGCAACAAAAATAATTCAAATATATAAAACACAAAAAGCAAAAAATAAAAACAAAATAAAGATATATATATATATATTAACAAAATTAAACAGTTATAATCTTCTACATAAAGAACAAAAGTCTTAAAGCAAACTACTTTCATACCAAAAAGAAAAGAAAAAAAAAATCGAAAAGAAATGAAATGAAAACTGTCACAAGCTGCGAGTATTACACTAAACTACAAATGATTACTTTACTATTTAAGCACCTAGGCAAGCTAGGCAAAATCTATGCATGCAACAAGAAGAGAAATTTATAATAATAATAATAATAGTAATAATAATAATACAAAAGCAACAGAGAACATTTCATAACTCAATTCAAGACTTTCAGCAACGTTCACCCAAAAAAGTATGCAACAAAATTTTTAGCTAATAAATCTACAAAATTATACATACATACGCATCTAAACAAAATATATATATACACACATACATATAATTTTTAAATATTTAAAAGCGAGACATTTAATTTTACTACAAATTAACAAAAACGAAAAAGAAATAAATAAAAAAATAAAACAGATAGATAAACTACTAACAAAAGAAAAGGAAAATCAATCGATTATAATTAAGCGCGTAATTATTATGTAAAATGTATGTGTGTGTTAGTGTTAGTAAGCAGAACGGTTTTTAAAAGCAACAACAACAAATTGATAATGATAAATTGATTATGTGTGTAAGCAGTAAATGCATTAAAGTCTAGACCTAATCGAACTGGCAAAAATTATCAAAAGCAAATAAAATTAATTATCAAAGTTTGATGACAGGAACAAATGTTGAATCGCTCTAAAGAAAAAAAAAATATA